CCATAATTTGTTAAATGGATAGATGAAAAGATGTCAGGAAAGCGGTAATTTCTCCAGTTAATTTTTTTCTAAGAAATTCTTTTTCTCTTTCTTTCTTCCAAGCAAGTGTGTGATCTATTTCCATACTTAAAAAATCCATTTAATAAAAAAAAAAAGAAAAAGAAAAAAAAATCCATTGAATGTCCTCAGAGGGTGCAATAGACATTAAAATAAGAGCAGGTATTGCACTTGATAGTAGACGAAAGGCCAAGGAACAACAACAAGAATTTACTGCCTCATGCATACATAATGTGTGTTTGGTATGTGAACCCTTATATGTGTAAGTGTGTGTGTGTGTGTGTGTGTGTGTGTGTGTGTGTGTGTGTGTGTAGGCCTAAGGATCTTCCTCTGCCACTCTCTACCTCATTCTTTGTGGCAGGGGCTCTCAATAGAATCCAGAGTTCATTGGTAAATCTAATCTGGCTAGGCTCACCCCTGGTATCCTTTGTCTCTGCCTCTGGAGTGCTGGAATTACAGGTAGGCAGGCTGTCATGCTCACATCTGAACTCTTGCCCTCACACTAGTGTAACAGGTGCTCCCCATCTTGTAGAGTCTTTAATGTTACTATCTTCTGTATGTACCCTTTCATGCTTTGTTGTGTGACTTTTCCTGGGGTGATGTGAATACATGTCTATTCACCCCAGATAGGGCACCACAGAAACAATTCCACCCAGATCTAGCTTGAGGACCATTAAGTTTATAAGGGCTAGTTACAGTAGCGTGGATGAGGGGTTACCTCAACAACATGGACAACTCAAAGCCAGGTGCATCAAAGAAAAGCCCATTCTAGCATGGGTGATGACTCACATAAACTGCATTGTTGGAGCTCATTGCCAGACTTATAGGCAGTTTCGTTGGTCAGAGAATAATCTCTGGGGATCCTATTGCTTGTGGATGGGGCATTCTGACTCATTTAAGTTTCAAGACCTTCCTGAGACCTAGCAACTGTTTACCTCTTGATTTCAACCTCCAGGATGGAATGTTTGAATTTGGAGGAGACTGTTTACAATGTATCTATTTCCAGACAAGTTGCTTCAGATTGTAAGAAAGGAATGAGCTGTCTTTTGCAGTTAGTTGTATTTGTTGTGTTCCCTTGTAGACTTCCAGTCTTTTCTCTCTCTTTTTATTTTTACCTTACACCTGTTTTTGCCTGCATAAACATCTGTGCACCGTGTGTGTATTGTTCTTGAAGGCTAGAAGAGGTTGTTGGATCCCCTGAAACTAGAGTTACATACAGTTTTGAGCTGCCATGTGAGTGCTGAAAATCAAACCCAGGTCCTCTGCAAGAGCAGCACGTGCTGTTAACTACTGAGCCATCTTTCCAGCCCCTTCTAGTCTCTTATTGTTCCCTAAATGCTTTATGTGTATTTGCAAAGCATGGTGCTGTTTCTTTTGGTTCTAAATCATCCAAACACTCCTCTACTTCACCGCTCTACTTCTTAGGGACTTGGGTACTACCTGAGTAGCTATAATTAAGTGGTAAGCAGCTCTGCTCCCAAATCTTATTTCTCAAGGATCTGACATTCTTTAGATGACAGAATTTTGGCAAAGCAGGTAGGGAAGTGAGACTTATTTTAATGATAGCAGTTTAGCGAGTGAAAAATTTAAGAAACCAGCCATTTATGTGCTTAGGTTTGAAATAAAAAAGTCATTGTTGTTCCACAGGTCAGCCCAGATACACCTTGACTTTCATTCAAGCTATCATGGTTGGATGGACAGGATCAGGCTCCATCTGTTTGTTGTAGGATACTGCCAGTAGGAGACCCTTGACTTACTGGGAGCTGTCCAGCTAAGCATAATGAGCTGGCAGGCAGGTGGGCTTTTGCTTTGGTGGTATAAGCAGTCATATTAAGAGATGTCTGGGTTTCCACTTCCAGATCTATGAGCTTCTGGCCAGTAGCTTATTGGCACCGTACACATTAGATGACAAATAATTACTGCCTATTAAGCAGTTACTATGTTGGGCATTCTGTTAAACACCTTCATTTAATGTTCAGAAAAAAAACATCATGACTATTATTATTGTCATCTTACAAAGGAGGGATGTAAGGCTTAGAAAAAATGAATAATTGGCTTTAATGCTCATGGTTACACCCTTGGGTGACTTGTGGAGCTTTGTCTCATCTGACTTTTATGCAGCCTTATCCTAGCCACCTTATGTAGCAACCTCAATAATAATTAACTCTTCTTTTGCTAGACATCTGAAGGCAAGATGGGTCACTGCAGCTCTCCTGAAGTCACCCCTGACAATTCAGCCAGGGTTCTCACTCTTGTGTCTGCTAGCTGCCACAGTAGGAGCCAGCTGTGTTTTTGTCAGTATGGAAAGGACATGTGCTTATTAAGTTGGACTAAATGCCCTTCCTTGAATGGATTATTCAAGACTATCTACCCACTAAAAAGATCATGCTAGCTCATCATGCACAGAGCACTTAATAACATTCAAAAATAGTGATGACAGCTTTTTATTTTGATAAAGAACATTTATTTGGTCGATCTGATTTACAATGTGAATATAATTATAATGACTAGGCCAGTGAGATGGCTCAGTGGGTAAAAGACTTGCTGAGAAATCCTGATCCCAGGAACCCACAGTGGAAGGATAGAACCAACTCCTGAAGTTTGTCTTCTGACCTCCACATGTGTACTGTGGCACATTAATGTCTGCACTACATGCCTACCTGCACACATGTTTGTGTGCCCACACACCCACAAATACTTAAATAAAAAACAATGGCAATGTTAGTAACTAACACATGCATACATGGGCTATTCTGAATTTGTTGGTTAGTTTTTTTGTCTCTGTGACAAAGTATCAGAGAATAAATGTAAAGGAGGATTTATTTTGTCTGTGGTTTTAGGTCCTGATCACTCTGTGGCTCCTGGGTCTGGGTGAGGGTGGTGAGGCATAAATAACAGCAATGCAAGGATTCCATGGTGGAACAAACTCATCTCCAGGTAGACTGGAGAAGTTGGAGACAAACAGAGGAAGAGGCTGGGGATTAGAGACAGGCTTTCAGATCATGGCTTTAGCAATCCACTTCCTCCAATCTTCCCTCACCTTCTAGTTTTTACCACCCCTAATACCTCCCAATTATGAATCAATCAATGCATTAATCCACTGTTTAGGTCATTAGGCACTAGTAAGTAGGTTCTCATAATCCAAATACTTGCCACAAGTCTATCAGCTATGACCACATGAGCCTTCGGAGCCTTCTGTGCCCCAATTAATACACAATCAAAGTTCTTAATGCTGATAACTCACTTGATCTTCATAACAATTATTTTAAAAAATACTATTATTAGGCTAATTTTAGGTGTAGAAACTGAGGGACAAGAGTCACTAATTGGCTTCCTTCTATAAGGTGTCAAGACCTTCTAAGGTATCAATGGCTGACCTGTTGCAGCCTAAAAACATGCAATGTAATCAGCAGGAAAACCCAGCTTCAAGGCAAGTTGTATAGTCTTTTCCAATTAGCCTGCACATTGGGCCTCACTGGGCTGGTCTCTGAAACAGAGACCTTCATCACTCAGTCCATTTTTAGGTGTTTAATTCAAGTTCAAAGGCTAAGTCAGAGACTTGTTGCAAGTGACCTTAGAAATCATCCAACCCGGGGTTTCTCAATCTCTGAATTATTGACATTCTGGTTTGGACAACTACACATAGGGGAGTTTTGGACAACACTCCCAGCCTCTATTTGTGAAAAATGAAATTTATGAAATGACAAGTATGGAAATGGGAGGTGCTGGAAAGGTACTAAGGGAACTACTTACTCAAACGATTATTTTACAGATCCTGCAGTTAGGATCAAAAAAGAAAAACTAACTTGTTTAAAGTAGCAAGCGAGGCAAAGGTTAGAAGCTAGGCTATTGTGCAACATTCCCACATGGTGTACATGTCACAGTATGGAACCCAGAGAGGCAGATGCAGTTTCCATTTACAACAAGGCAGAGAAAACCTATTGGACAGACCTAACTGCATGAAGTTGATAAGCAGCGAGGGCTACTCAGGTAGCAAAGAGTAAAAACACGAGAATGCAATCTGGACCGACCACGTTTCTGCTCCAGGACTTGAACAATTCAGGTTCATCCATTGGCCTGAAAACCAGCCCGTGATTGCATGGTGTACACCGTAAAGCTCTTATAAACATCGAACATTATTAAGATCATCAAGAATGAGATCATTCTATTCGTAGCAAAGTTTCTCAGAAAAGCCTACGTGAGAGTCTTCATTCCTGGACTTCTCAGTTCTTGGGCAGGAGAGGAAGCAGGCAAGAGACCCTCCTCTCGCCAAGCGCCCGTCTGCTCCCCCTCAATCCTGGGTAGCCGGATGGGAGAGAACAGGTCACTCACTTCGCACAGCTAATACATTTAGCTTTAGCCGCTGCAGGGTACTCGGGTCCTTCCAGCTCGGCTCTCCGGCCGCCGCCCTAAAAGAGGCGGACCCTTTCCGATCCTTGCCTCCCTGAGCATCCCGGAGATTCCCGAGCTTTTCCGATCCCTTCACGGCCTCCCGCGGGCGGCCCGCGCGGAGGCGGCAGCGATTGCCGAGGGGCGTAGCCACGCCCCCTCACCACAGCCTCCTCTCGCGCGGGCCGCCCGAATCCCACACATCCAGGTCCCTCCCTCTCTCCCTCCTTTCTCTCTCCCCGCCTTCCCAGCGCTGCCACAGTGGCGGGACGGAGGATCCCGACCAGTGAGCTGGCTGCGGCTCCGCGCTCCTCCTTCTCCCAAATAAACAGCCCTCCCCACGCAGGGAGCCCGGGCCGCCCCCTTCCTCGCGCAGCCGGCGATTGGTGAGGGAGCGCGGGACCGAAGGACCAAGGGACGGAGGGAGCCGCGCACGCGCGTGCGAGCGAGGGAGCGAGCGAGCGGCCGGCGCGAAGCCGGAGCAGAAGCCGAAGCCGTAGCCGGAGCCGGAGCCGAAGCCGAAGCCTGAGTCAGAGCAGTAGCGAAGCCGAAGCCAAAGCCAAAGCGGGACTCCGGGCCGGCGCGCACGCACGCACGCACGCGGGGGCGGGGCCGGCGCGCGCCCGCCTGTCGCGACTGTCGGCTCCAAGGCCCAGGGGGAGGTGGCCTGTCGCGGGTCGCCCGGCTCCCGGAGGCTAAGGGGGCGCGGGCGGATGGCGGAAGGCGGCCAGCCGCAGCAGCAGCCGCCTCAGCTTGGGCCCGGTGCCGCTGCCCGGGGCATGAAGCGGGAGTCGGAGCTGGAGCTGCCGGTGCCCGAAGCGGGGGCAGACGGACCCGAGCCCGGCCTGAGCAAGCGGCCGCGCACGGAGGAGGCGGCCGACGGCGGGATGCAGGTGACCGCGCGGGATGGGCGCCCGGTGACGGCGGGCCGCGGCGGGCTCGGGCCTCGGGGCGCCCGGTGGTTCTGGCTGGATAGTGGGCTTGGGGCTCGGTGCAGGGTCTCTGCTCCTAAGGGAGCCCCGCAGGCAGCGCGAGGGAGTGGGCTTTTCCTTTTGGAGTTGGGGGATTGAACAGGATCAGGATGCCGTCTGTTTCTTAAGCTCGTCCCCAGTTCCTTGAGAAGTTGGGCATCCTGGATCTGTTTGTCCAGAAGAGAGCTGTTGGGCCGAGTCGAGAGAGAGCGAAGCTAGTGGGAAAGCTCCAGAGAAGAAGGTGGCGCTTTTTGGTTTACCCTGGGTACCCTGGGAGGAGGAAAGGGGAGCGGCATCTGTGGACAGACTGAAAAGCCAGCCAACTCCTGGAGAGAAAGCCGAAAGGGGATGTGGCTTAGCTTGTGGGTTCAATCAGTTACACAGGGAGTCCTGAGAAGTCCGCGGAGTTTGGTGGTGTGGAGGCACCGTGGTGTTCAGTGTCATCCGTTTTGTGCAACGTGCTAGTAAGTCTGGAGACAGACACCGGGCATGTCCCTCCTGTGCTTTACCCGTTGCATTCTACCTTCGTAGGGCGAGTTCCTTAGTGTCCTGGGGTAGAAAAGAAAATTTATAGGGTTGTTAGGAGACTGGTTTCTGAGTTGTGGCCTCAAGGGTAAGCTGACTTATGAGGGTGGCAAAGACACTGATGCTGTCGATTACTACTTAGTTTGAGGAAGGGCATGAATATTTTATGGGCTTTAGGATTTGGTCTCTGTTTAGAAAATATTGGTTACAAAATAGAGAGGCTCACTCAGCAGCAATGGGATGCTGTCTAATTCTTTTAGAACCATAGAATGTTAGAGATGGAAGGGACCAGAGGTACCTATCTTCTTTTCCACTAGGGCTTCTCAATCTAATATACTTGGGAGAGTTACGCAGAATAGTTGATGTGCACTTTCAGTGAAGAGTCAGTACTTTGCATCTTTTTGTGTGTGTGGTGGGAAAGGTTGTGCTCAAGTCCAGCATGTTTTAACAACCTCATTTTTATAGATAGAGAATTAGAAGTCCAGAGAAGACGAGTGACTTGACTAAAGCCACCTGATAGCTGGTTCTAATTCCTATTCCTGTTCTCTCCATTACACTACTCCTGGAAATCTCTGCAGTGCTGAAGACTTCCTGTGCTCTGCCTGACTTCCTGTGGCAGGGAAGGAGCTGTACTTAAAGCCTGGCATGATTGCTGTGTGCCTCTTGTCTCCTTTGCAGAACCCACACTATGACCTCCATTGGTTTAGTTAAATAGGATTCCCTGGGTGTTTATTTTTTAATTCTTTTGTTTGCTGGCTTTTATTTCCCTTAGAAGTAGTCTTGTTGGGCAAGAGTGATTGTGAGGTCAGTCTCAGAGGCATTGAAGAATGGGGAGACAAAGTGAGGTGGGTTAGCACTGGACGATAAAGAGGAAACACTGGGTAGAGATGCTGGTGGGTGTATTCACTTGGTGTGTGCACACATCTTTGCACTTGTGTAGTCACTTTCTTTTCTTCTCTCTGTTAGTCTTAGTTAATAGTTCTCTTTGCTTTTCCATTCTTTTGCTTAGGGCCTATTATTTGCTGACCACTTTCACAATGGCTAAGGATAATGATACTTGGAAATGAAGTAGTGCATAGGGACTTTGGGATGTTCAGAGGGAGGAGTGAATTAGGTCCTTTGGGTACAATCGGATAACTTAGAGTTATACCATAAAGAATCATTTTACTCTGTATACTTAAGGATATTCTTTACTTTTCCCATTGTACATTCTTATGATTATAGGTTTTGTTTTTGAGACAGGGCATATTTGTAGCCTAGGTTGGTCTTGAACTCATGGTAGCTGAGGATGACCCTGAACTTCTGGACTCCTGACTTTGCCTCTGCCTTCATGGTAGATTTCTGAGATTACAGGCATGTACCACCAGGCCCAGTTCATTATTGTAGTTCTCTTATACCATGTCACAGAGGTATCAACATCATCATTGACTTAGCCTTCGCTCTGTTTTTAACTAGTTCTATTATCCTGGGGAAAACTCATGTTTTGGGACCTCGTTTTCTTATTTGGAAAAGTGTTTGTATAAAATGATTTCTAGGTTGCCTTCTTTAAAAACATAAGCCAAGTTCCCATTCCTAACTGTACATGTGACCTGCATAGGGAGACAAATGAATGAAAACTTAAACTAAAAAAGCCTGTGGGTGTGTAATACTTAACTAATGTTTATCAAGCAGCTGTGATACTCTTAGGCACTTTTTCTTTTGTTGTGTTGTTTTTGAGGCAGGGTCTCTCAGTCTAGTCCTGTCTGTCTTGTTGCTTGCTATATACACCAGACTAATTTTGAATTCATAGATCTTCCTGCCTTTTCCTCCTGAATGGTGGTTTATAGGCACTGTTTTAATCCTGGAGGATATATAAAGAAATCCTAATTTTATTGAACTAATAGTCCATGGAAAGGGACAAATCAGGAATTTTTGTTAGCTTGTGAGAAAATTAAGTAGAGAAAGGGATAGACAGCTTTAGAGATGGTGAAAAGTGGCTATAGGTGGCTTTTGAAGTGAAGATGTGGGTCATTCAGAGGTTTTAGGGAAGAGGATTCAGGCCATTCAGTGGTTTGAGGGAAGAGGAACCCAGAGTGCTGAGGCATTGGGAGGGAAGCAGCTCAGTGTGCTGCACAGGAGGCCAGTGTTGCTGGAACAGAATGAATGAACAGGCATGGGCCTTCTCAGGAAATAGCACTTTAGATGGGCCTGGATGCTCTATATAAATATCTATCTTATCTTCATACAGGCTTTTTAGTATATGGATTTGTCATATAGCATATGCTTTCCCCCCCTCCCCCCATATCTGAAGACAGCTGGAGTTTTTCTGAAGTCATAGCCGGGTCCTTGAAGACTTGCCGACAGGGTAATTGGTGCTATTAGACTCTGCTTTTGCCTGCTGGTATATTTATATGTACATACATGTTGTCTTTTATTGTTATTAGAGGCTTTATTGTGCCTGCTTTCTTAGACTGTAAGCTTCTATAAGGCAGAAGCTGTATTTCCTTTGTTTATTCTTCTTAATGCCTGGGTTTATAATAACTGTTCAATGTCTGTTAAATTGAAGCTGAAATTTACCATTTACAAATAACATACGGATTAAATTAATCATGAGATTCCTGAGTAAAGGAACTATCACAAAATTACTCAGTGCCCTAGAGGGCAAAGGATTAACTTTTTTTTTTTTTTTTTTTCCAGAATGCAGTAGTTGACTGAGTTAATTCTACATAGTAAATGGAATGACAACCCTAAACTAGGTTCTAAAGCTGAGTCTTGTTGGGGTGGACCCCTTAGCTTTTGAACATCATTACTTCCAAAATGGAGTTCTGAGGCTCCAGAGTCTGGGCTTGTGTTGTAAGCCTTTGGCTCAGGAGGAACCTGGAGAGAGGAAGAGAGTGCTCTCTAAAACAGTACTCAGCCATCTTAGGAGTGGAGAAGAGTCAGTCCACTCAGCAGGGGAAGATTAGAGAAGAAACATGGAATGTGGAATTGGAGGGAAGCAATGGATTCAGTATAAACATTGAAGCATGGTTGAGAAATGAGGCTATGAAAAATGGAGCCTGGAGATAAGTGTGTAACTTGTAGACGTTAGCACATATCCCACTTTAACAAGGCTGATGTATATGACATGGTGTTTCTACCAAACACACAGAGGGATGCTTTGGGTCAGTCTTTCTAGAGATTGCAAACAACTTAGTCATCAAAAATTGTGTTTTTATGTAATTTTCTAGGAATTTGGCTGCAGTATAAGGTAAGATATATCTTAATTATTACTTATAACCTTCAGCAAAAGTCTTTATGGCAGTGAAAAATTGGTATGTGATGATTTTGTGGCCTAGTAACTGCTTCTGACCATAGTTATCAATCTAGAATAGCTAAGTGAGTTCAGCAGTGTGAACAAGTGTGGTGTACATGTATGTGTGTAGATAAATTCATACTCTGGGGAATGAACCTAAGGTCTCGTGTGTTTGGTAATTAATTACCTTACCTCTGAGCTATGTCTATAGTCTGTTAGATGTGTGTGTTTTCCTAGTATTGGAGAGCAAACCCTTGATCATACTAGGCAAGCATTCTACCATTGAGTTATAATCCCAGCCCTATTTTTACTATATATGTTTGAGATAGTATCTTACTACTTTGCCTGGGCTGGCCTTGAACTTACTGTGGCCTAGGTAGGCCTGCTGTCCTCTAAGTCAGTCTCCTGAGTGGTTAGAATTATAGATCTTGACCGTCAGGTATAGTTTACTTTTTAGTTACTCTAGTATTAAGGAGGGAGGCTCTTCCTGGTCTCAGAGGAGGGCTCTTAGGTATTCTGTGTGTGAATTTGGTGTCGGATGAAGTCATTTATCTTCCCTTTGTTTATTTCTGGGTTGATTTCCTTATGGGTAGGTATCTTATTGGACCCTTATTTGGGTTTTTGGTTCTGCTGCTCTCTGTAAAGCTACTGAATAATGTCCTTTCAGGTAATTTCATGGGTAGTATCTCACTTAAATGACTTAAACCTCATTTCTCTCTGCCTTAGTTTGTTAGGCTGCCACAACCAAATGTTACCCACTGTTGGTTATATTTATAGCTCACAGCTGTGAAAGTCCAAGATGGTGCCAGGAGGTTTGGGACCTGGGGAGGGTCTGGCTATCTGTTAAGGTGGCCTTTGCTCACTGAGTGCATCAAGGGTAGAGAAGTGAGTGACACTTTTCTCAGTAGCCCCACCCTCTGGATCTCATCAAATCCTAAGACTCCTCCAAATGCTGTCACTCTGGGAGCTAGGGCGTCCACTGAATTTTGGGAGGACACATTTAGATGGAGAAAACTGAGGCATAGTCAAGGGGAAAAAAGTCACTGATTCTTTTTCTCATTTTTTGGGAAAATTTTCCTTTCGTGTATGACATGGAAGCCCAGAAATGTAACCCTGGGGGTGT